CAACTCCCAGTTGGCTGGCTGGGGAATTCTGGGAGTTGAAGTCCACTCATCTTAAAGGGGCCAAGTTTGGACAGCACTGTCTTAAACAAATGTTGGGATTACTGGATGCTTAATGCAGGCCCTGCGGCTGTAGGTTTGTTTCTGATGGAATTAAACACAGTTGGGACTATAGATTGAACTGTAAACATGAACTATAAACTAAGCCCAAAGGCTAGCTCCCACAGCACACGGAGCTGAAAAGAGCCCCACGTTGGAGTTAATCCAGTTTAGCCTGCTGCTGCAAAGGTTGCCGTTTCCTCACTTGGTTAAGCAAGTTAAAGCCAGTGTGTCTGGCTTTACTATCAACTGCTTAGAAATCTTATATACACCTTCATTACCTTCACATGGAGATGACTTTATGTCCTAATTAACTTCAGGATCTAATTACAAATTCAAATCAAATTAGCGATGGCGTTTGGTGTTGGAGTGACACAGCACAGAACGATTTCTGGTTCCTGACGGCTCCCTTCCAGAAATGCGCCAATTCATGAAATGCTCAGATCGACCAATTTTGGAGAGGGAAAAAGGGGGGGGGGAACGCAGAGTTTCGGAGCTGAATAGCCCTGTTTTGCGCATCTCTATTAAAACCAACGTGGTTAGAAAGCTTTTATTTTGATGGACATTATGCTGGTATCTTCTCTGTCCCCTAAAATCTCAGTCCTGCCCTCTCTTGAAGCGGGGAAAATAGCGTTTGGGGTCGTCTGCGGCTGATAGGAGATCGCATAGCGCATGAATCCGGCTACCAAGTCAGTCCATGAAATCAGTCCAGACTTCTCCCGTTGCAGACTGAACCGGAAATAAGTTTCTCCAAGGAAGAAAAGTCTAAGAGCTCACATTAATATTTAGAAGGCAGCACAAGGATTCCAGCCAGGCTCCTCCTTTCAAACGAGACTCCAATAGATAGGCAGTTTAGGGCAGCGAAACTCTTGCCCATGGCTTTTTTGATACAGATATGTCGGTTTCCCGATAATTCCCCTTTTAACCAGAGGTTGCGTTGAAAGTGCAGCCCTGCTTAACTGAGCCTTGTCAAAGGCTTGTGGTTATCAAGGCTGGAGCACGATGGAGAAAGGTTTTGCCAGCAGCTGGAGCTCTGTTCCTAACTGCGCGGCGGGTCCCGAATGCGACCAATTTTTGAACCACCTCCCATTGAATCGGCGCAAAGATCCATTTTGCTAAAGGCCTGTATGTGATGGAATGGAATTATGAAGGCCAGGCTCAGGGAGATAAGCGTGTTCTTAGTTCACTGCAAG